AGAGGAAGGAGGATTTTGGAGGAGGAGGAGGAGGAAGAGGAGGAATATGTGGGAGGAGGAGGAGGATGTGGGAGGAGGAGGAGGAGGATCAGGATGTGGGAGGAGGAGGTGGATGTGGGAGGGTTATGGAGGTTGACCTCCTTATCCTCCCTTCTCCCTTGTCCTACATGTGGCAGTGGTGGTGGAAAGTTTGCCCATCAGAGGAGGGGTGGGGGTACGGGCAGAAGGGGGGATGCATCTTTCGAAGACGCAGCAACGCCATACACGGAAGCTTTTGGCGCTCCGCGTTTATGGCGTTGCTTCTTCTACTAATCTTGGGGTACCATGTGGGACTTGCTCCAGAGCAGGAACAACAGACGGATCTACCCTCTCTCCGACCGTGCACCGCGCCGAACGCAGCGGCCACATTGTCCATAGAGACGTGTCCACCCCGACCCGAGAGTGTCTATGGACGTCACGGCACCCAATGTGTCCATAGAGGAGGAGGGACATAAGGGGTGGGATGCATCTACCGAAACGGTCGGGTCGAGGTATAAGATCGAGGTTGCCTCGATGCTCCTTTGCATGCTGGGGGGGACCTTCGAGTGATCTTCATGGTTTGGGGTGTCTTAGCCGGCGGGGGGGGTTATGTTCTTGAAGGGTGTTCTTCTGTCCCAGGTCGACCGTGCCGCTACCCTTGACATCGACCCCTTCTCTCTCGTTTTTGCCGTTTTCGGCCTCCTGGGAGGCATTCGTCGCCACGGCTGGATTCGCCTCGAGGTTTTGGTCAGAATGCACCCAGGGAGAGGCCCGGGGAGTCGCGGTATGGGTGCTTTTCAGTTTCCCCAGTTCGGAGGAGCATAGGCACAGGGGGGTGGGACGCACCGACCCCCCATCAGCCGTTTGTCGCCGATGAGGGGCCCTCTAGCCGCTAGCCCACCCCCGCTCAGGAACGTTCGGATTCATTATCGGGGGCCTATCTCGGCGGCGAGCCAGGGGGGTAGGTGAGAAGGGGCGGGCCTTCCCAGGAGATTCGGAAGTCCCCTGGCCTTCTGAGAAGGTTTCTGAGCCTTCCCCGAGGACACGACACTTCTCGGAAGGCGCGAAGGCTTCTGAGAAGTGCCGCCGCCTTCTGAGAAGGCCTCCTCCTGATTTCCCCCCCTGGCTCGCCGCCAACGATCGCCAACCGATCGGCGATGTGTCGCCGATTCCAGGTCGGTGCTTTCCCCCCTCTGCCGGCCCCCCCCCCTGACGCTCCTCCCAGGCGGGCGGCGCCGGGCGGGCATGGCCGCCGTGCGCGGCGGCGCAGGCGTCGGCGGCGCTGGATCGAGTAAGAGCAAAATTGCGTCGCCTTCGGTCGTTGAAGGTTCCCAGGTTCCAACCTGCTTTCTGCTTCAATGATCGAGTGGCTTCACCTTTTCCGCCCTCGTCAGGGGGCGGACGGATCCCAATCTACTCTCAACTTCAACGCCTTCCTACTTCATGTTTCTACCTGCTTCTTCCGACCGATGGGTAGACGTAAACCTTCGGAGTTCCGCCCGGATTTCTCATATTGGAGTTGGGGTCCCCCTGTCGGCGTCTCTGTCGCCGCCCCTGAAGCGATCCGCGCGACAGGGACGAGGGCCGGTCAGCACAGATCCAAGAAGTGCATGCGGACCTTTGAGGATTGATGTGCAGCTTGGTAGTTCCTCTATCAGTTCGACTCCTCCGACGCCCGGATGCTTTGCCGATTTGTTGGTGTTTCCCTGGGCCCCTTCAGCAGGGCATCTGAGTCTAGACCAGGGGTGGCGAGCCAAGGCTCATCTCCCCTCGGCCGGAGAGTCGCGGCCAGAAGCTTCTGACTTCACACCCCCCGTCTGGGGCTCCTTTCGACTCCTTCGACCCGATTCGGTTCGATGTTGATCGATTCCGACTCCGACTCGATTCGGACAGGATAAGATAAGGTAACAAACATACCACAGGCGCCCCCGAGGCCGCGATCTTTGGCAAAAGCCACAGGGTCCGCGATGCTCCCAGGCGCTCCCCAGCGCTCCCAGACGCTCCGGGAACGCCCAAGCGCTCCCAAGTGGCCCGAGGCGCTCCGCAGGCGCTCCGCAGGCGCTTTCCAGGCGCTCCCAGACGCACCCGTTCCTGATTCCGATTCCGACCCGGGCCTGGGTTTCTCGATGGAGGCCTCACTGGCCTGCTGATTTCCGCCGATTCGACGTCTCCCGACTCCTCTGCCCATTTCCACCGACCCGATGGATTTCGATCGCCGGTCCGACTCGTCGAGGCGGTTCTGGGCTCTCCCGCAGGCGTGGGCGGCGTTGCGGCTGGGGCCGCGGCGCCTCCCGTGAGGTTCCCACCCATCGAGGCGCGCGGGCGGCGCGCAAAGGAGGGGGCGGGGCGAGGCGGGGAGCGAGAGGAGGAGGGGGAAGAGGAGGAGAGGAGGAGGAGGAGGAGGAGGAGGAGGAGGAGGAGGAGGAGGAGGAGGGGGAGGAGGAGGAGGAGGAGGAGGAGGGGAGGAGGCGAGGAGGAGGAGAGGAGGGAGGAGGAGGAGGAGGGAGGAGGAGGAGGAGGAAGGAGGAGAAGGAGGGAGGAGGAGGAGGAGGGAGGGAGGAGGGAGGAGGAGGAGGAGGGAGGAGGGAGGAGGGAGGAGGGAGGAGAGGAGGGAGGAGGAGGAGGAGGAGGGAGGAGGGAGGAGGGAGGAGGGAGGGGGAGGAGGAGGAGGAGGAGGAGGAGGAGGAGAGGAGGAGGAGGAGGAGGAGGAGGAGGAGGGGGGAGGAGGGAGGAGGGAGGAGGGAGGAGGGAGGAGGGAGGAGGGAGGAGGAACAGAGGAACAGATCGAGCGCACCCAGGTGCGAAATTCGGGCGATGCCAAGTGCATTCTAGCCCTGACTAGAGCGGCGCTTGCAGCGGCAGGCGCGGTGGCAGCTGAAATTTCTTCCACGGCCATGCCGTGGGTAGCTGCGCGCAGAAACTTGGTGAGGCCATCGCGCCCCAGCGTGGGCGCGCGTGTATTCTCCTTTGTCTGGGAGAGGGAGGGGGGAGGGAGGAGGGGGAGGAGGGAGGTGGGAGGTGGAGGTGGAAGAAGGGAGGAGGGAGGAGGGAGGAGGGAAGAGGGAGCAGGGAGCAGGGAGCAGGGAGCAGGGAGCAGGGAGCAGGGAGCAGGGCGCAGGGAGGAGGGAGGACGGAGGAGGGAGAGAGGAGGAAGGAGGGACGAAAGAGGAGGGAGGAGGACGGAGGGAGGAGGGAGGAGGGAAAAGAGACCTGTGAGGAGGGAGGAGGAGGGAGGAGGAGGAGGAGGATGAGGAGGAGGAGGAGGAGAAGGAGGGGGAGGAGGAGAAGGAGGAGGGAGGAGGAAGCCTGCCGAGCCAAGGGGGCCATCGGAGCTGGAGGGGGACGACAAAAAGGCGCCGATGGCTGGGAGGGCCGCCGTGCGCAGGATGCGCATGCGCTGTGCCTCCCGTGTCAAGCAGCGGCGAAGCGCCTTGGATTCCCCATAATCGAATTTGCCGACGTTTGTTGACGAATCCGGTACTAGAGTTTGCCGACGTTTTTTGACCGTACCCGAGTCTTACGTCTCCCCGATATAAGCCCAACAAACAATGTTCTAAGAAGTTTTTTTGGTCTGCACGAAATGTTCTTAGAACAGGTCTATGCCATATAATCTAGGCCTCCTAGATGGGGTCCGAGTAGATGAGGTCGGAGGATCGCGCCGCATCGTCGATGCATCGGCGATGCGGCGCGTTGTGGAGCCCGATGTTATCCACGTCGGCGTCGCCGATGTATCGCCGACATCGACGATGCGTCGCCGGCGCATCGCCGATGCATCGCCGATGCATCGCCAATGCATCGCCGATGCATCAGCGATCTGGCGCGATCCTCCGACACCACCTACTCGGACCCCACCTAGGAGGCCTCGATATGAGCCCACCAGAGAACGTTCTCAAAACCTTTTGTGGTCGGCGCGAGATGTTCTCAGGCAGAGCAGTTCTGGCTCAGACCATCTTGGTTTGGCACACGTCGGGTTCATGTTCTAAGGACAGTGTTTTTGTGATTCGGACACGTGTGGGTTCTAAGAGCATCTCGCGGTAGGCCTATAGGAATGCCGGGACGGTGGGCCCCTGCTCAGCCGCGAGGAGCCAGCTTGTCGGTTCATGCGGGCGGTGCGCAAAGGTCGACGGACGTCTTCGTCGGTCTTCGTCGGCTTCCCAGCCTCGGGCTGCCTTCCTGCGGCTGCGCCTCGCTGGAGGCCCGAGCTACGACCCAGGAGCCACCAGGCGTCGAAGAGATCAGCGGCAGCGTTCGGGGGAGGGGCTGGGCTCAGGTGAAGTCGGGCCTGTCCCTCTGCAGGAGGACTAACCCGAGTAAGCGATTAAGGAACCCCCCCCCCTCTCCGGTGAAAGGATAACGCACCCGGCACCCGGAAGCGTTATCCTGGCACCAGGAGGGGGTACACCTTATTCGTATTCGTATTCTTATTATCATTACAATTCTAATTGGGATGCCACCCGAGGCGGGGCGCTGGAATTATTTATTTTCCTTCCATTTGCGCGGTGCTAATAATATCGCTCGGCGAAAACCCCCCCAAATAATTATTCAATTACGGCGCGGTGCTAATGATAACGCCGGGGGCGTCCTTCATTGCTTCTCCGGGCGATTCACCAGTAGTGAAAACATAGTCTGGGCGATCCTTGCTTCAGTACTTTTTTGGCATGTTCTGCATAGTTGTTTGCCTTTTTATCAGAGCCCCGAATCATCAGGGGTAACTCGGGTCAGGGATAACTCGGGTTCCTTTTTCGGGAACCCGAACCCGAGTTACCCCGGACCCGAGTTACCCCGGATAACTCGGGCGTCCAGAGCCCCGAATCATCAGGGGTAACTCGGGTCAGGGCTAACTCGGGTTCGTTTTTCGGGAACCCAAACCCGAGTTACCCCGGACCCGAGTTACCCCGGATAACTCGGGCGCCCAATTTTAGGGATGCGTCGAACCCCGATCGCCCATTCCTGGCCGGCAGGGGCTCGGCGGCCCGGCCCCGCCCAGGACCCTGCGGTCTGTGCCGTCGGGGGCCCGCCGCCGTGCCCTCGGCGCCGCACCGCCGCCTCCAGGTCGGCAAGGGCTCCCTCGAGCGCGCGAAGTTATTCGCGCTTCGCGCTTCGCGGTCCTCGTTCCTTCTCCCCCCTCCTCCTCGTCCTCCTATTCTCCCTTTGGGAGGGCGGCGCGAGAGCGCGAAGTTATTCGCGCTTCGCGCTTCGCGCAGCGCGAAGCGCGAAGTTGGGAGCCCTAGGTCGGCGTGTCCCCCCCCCTCAGCGGGTTCCCCCCCGCATCGGAGGGCACCAACTATACACCCTAGGCGATGCTTAAGAAAACTTACGTTTTCAGCCAGAGTCTCGATGATTCTTAGTGTTGTATTATGAATCCTAGGCTTTTGATCGACATTCTGGGTTTCTATTCAAATTCTGAGACTATGAATTTCTTAACCCATGATTTCTTAAGCATTTCGCAGGGTGTACACCAACACCGATCCTGGCCCAGGATCACCCTGGGCCCAGGATCGGTGTATATGCCTTCTTGCGCAGGGCAGGAGGGCGTATACACCGATCCCTGGGCCCAGGGTGATCCTGGCCAGGATCGGCGTTGGTGTATAGTTGGTGCCTTCCTACCCTGACGCTGCCCCTCGAGAGAGGGGGGGCAGGGCGAGAGGGGCGCGGCCTCCTCAGAAGGCGGTCGCTTGGCATCGCTCGGACGTGTGCATTTGTCCTTCGGCGAGGACCATCGAGGAGCATCCTTGATCATCTGGGGAAAAAAACACGCACGGAACCGAAAAACGCACAGGGAATGGACGTCCGAGCGATGGCCAGGTCGGGCCAGAGCAGGAAAAGGTACCGATGCCGCTGTTCGTCCTGGAGAGCGCACGTCACCACGGCTGGATGCTCCTCGAGATGCCACTGCTCGTTCCACGACTCACGTTTGAGGAGGAAAAGGTATCGAGACCGCTACCCTTGCATTGTTGTCGCCTTTGAGGGCCTCCTGGGAGGCTCTCGTCGCCATGGCTGAATTCTCCTCGAGATTCTGGTCAGAACGCACCCCAGGAGAGATCCAGGGACCAGCGGTATGGGTAACCCCAGGAAGCATTTAAGACCCCCCCCCCCCCCTTCCGGCAAATCGATAACCCTTCCGCACCCTGGAAGCGTTACCTGGCACCAGGAGCCCTCCTCCTCCTCCTCCTCATCCTCCTCCTCCTAAATTTCGAATTTCGATTGTGGCCCAGGGGCCAGGCCTCCGCGAATTTGTTTTGTGTCCGGGTGCTAAACCTATCGTTCGGTTATTTCGGCCCCTCGGAATATCGAATAAAAATGCGGTGCTAAGATATCGCCGGGGGGGTTCTTAAATGCTTCCTGGGGTTATACCTTTTCTGCTTTTCCCGGCGAAGAAAGTATCAAGGGTCGCCAATGTTCGGTCGGTTGGGTTTCGTCGCCATTGCTTACGTGCGGTCGGCTCGGTTCCGTCGGCTGTTGTGCGCCGTTGCCACGCCGCTGCGCCGCCCCATCCTAGGCTGCTTGCGGCCTCGTCGGCTTCGGCCGGCTGCGGTACGGTTGCCGTCGCTGTCGGTTTTCGGCCGTGATGTCGCCGTGGACTCGACACGGACGAAATCGGTTTGGAAAGAAGATACGAACACCGGAATCAGATCGTGTCCATTTTGGATACGGATCGTTGTCGGGGTCGCAGCGGTCGATGTCGATTTGAGAGAACTGGCTGCCTGCCCAACAGCGGCCGCTGTCGGTTTGGGGCAACATTAGCGGTGCCCATTCTTCCCGTACCTTGTTCGAGTGTGCGAGTTGACGCCATTTTGTGCTCACCAGGGCCCTCGCAGGTTTCCAACGAGACCCTCGAGATTCCCAGACCCCTGACATCATGATTTGTTCATAACGTCGACCCCCATTGGTCTCTTTAGGGACCCAGGTCGTTCTGCGAGAACGCTTCGGGTGACGGGGGTCTCCAGGGTCCCAAGACCGTACGTTAACGGACCGTGCGGTGAGGTCGTCGGGGATTCCGAGGTCACTGTGCGGTCCGTTTTGGAGCCCCGAAGTTCTCGAGCGGGGCCTGGACCAGGATGAGTTTTTCCAGAGCGTCCCAGAACGCTCTCAGAGTGCTCTGGAGTGCTTCGAAACAGCCGCGTCGCTCGATACCCAGACCAGCGGTGGTTTGATTTTTCCAGCACGGGCTCTCGGGAAGTCCCGACCCTTCCCCAAGGACGGTTTCTCGTGTCGAGTAGTTTGTCTTTCGACTTGTCTCTGGGCCCAGGAAGGGCCCCCGGAGACTAAAACTCTATGAAAACGTCGGTCCTGATTTTTTCATGGCGCGACCATGTCTGAGAAATACAGTGGGGGCTCATGTCAAGAAGCACCCTGCTTGCCTCCAGGGTACCCTGGATCTCTTGAGTTTTTGATGGCTTTGCCGTGGAAAGCGTGACGTTCCCACACCAAACATCAATGGACGTCCTGGGGTCTCAGGGTTGGGTTTCTTGTAGAAGGTCTCTTGTGGACCAGCCTCCGCTGTATGCTCCAGGACCGCCAGATCTCAGAGATCCCTGATTTGTTCCTGTCCGACGTTGTCCTGGTCCTGGCTTCGGCTCATGTTCCGCCTCTCGAGCCGATGTTTTTCCAGATGCGGTGCTGACACATCTGCTCCTGGCCTTCGCCCGCCTCTCAGAGGCACGTTGCAGGGGGGATATGCTCTTCAGTCGGGCGTGTCCCTCTACAGGGGGAGAAATAAAGAATAGTCAACAAATAGTTTGGGGACGATTCTATTTTTACCATCGTTGTCTATTTCGGAGTATTTATTTGACTTTTTCTATTTTTTCGCCCAAGATGTGCCTGTAGGAGGACATGCCCGACCTGAATCTGCTCAGAGGGGAATGCATCGGCCCCGGGCCCCCTCGAGTAATGGGAAAAGCACGACGGACGGTGTTCTGCCATTTTCGGCCTCCGGGGGCCCTCGCCGGGGCCCCGCGATCGTCAACAGACGGCTCGGGACGAACAGGACGGGTCCTGGGGACTGAGTCGAGACCCCCGGGGGGTCGACGGAGACCTCTGGGGGCCTCTGAGAGGGCCTTGGCCCTCGAGGAGGAGGAGGAGGAAGAAGAGGAGGAGGAGGAGGAGGAGGGGGAGGAGGAGGGGGAGGGGGAGGAGGAGGAGGAGGAGGAGGAGGAGGAGGAGGAGGAGGAGGAGGAGGAGGAGGAGGAGGAGGAGGAGGAGGAGGAGGAGGAGGGGGAGGAGGAGAAGGAGGAGGAGGGGGTCTGGGGCCCCCGGCCGCCCCTTCGTCGCCGACAGGACCAGGCAGCCCACCGCGCCCCGAAAGGTGCGGTTTCGCTGTCGGAGGCCAGTCGTCGATCTATCGGCGACCTATCGCCGATCCACGTCAAGCTCGGTGTTTCTCCCCCCCCCCTCGGGGTCCATCTCGGTCGGGTCGATACGACTCGAGCCCGATCCGATTCGACTCCGATGTTCCTGCAATCCGATGCGGCGCGAGACTCGCCTAGGGGCCCCGCTGTGCATCCTGGCGCAGCCGAACCGATGCGATCTCGACCCCGTGCCGGTGCGGCCCGATCCGATGCAGGTTTCGATCCGATGCGATGTGCCGATTCGATTCTGATGTTCCCCCCCCTGGGCTGGCCTCTCCAACGTTGGCCCTCGGCCCATGTCGGCGCGCCATCGAAGGCGGCGCGGGCCAGCAGCCCCCCGGCGGGGGACGACCGCCTCGGGAGGTACCTGCTGGAGCTGTGGGGCAAGTGCCGGCAATCGGAGGACTCGAACAGAGAACCTATGAGTCTCAGAGGGGGAAAAGGCACCCATACCTCTACCCTCGCCTTGTTTTCTCCTTTTTGGGCCTCCTGGGCGGCCCTCATCCCCACCGCTGGATTCGCCGTGAAATGCTGGTCAGAACGCACCCCATATCGGTACCGTTTGGTCTCCCCAGAGTCAGGGCCCATTTCGATCCGATCGATCCGATTTTATATCGATTTCAGCCAGACCGATCCGATTCGCTACCAGCATTCCGACGATCCGATGCGGCCCGATGATTGTGTGGCGTTGTGGTGCATCCTGGCGCAGCCGATCCGTTTCGGCTTCGACTCCGTGCCGATGCAGCCCCCGCCGACGCACGTTCCGATTCGATTCGATTTGCCGATTCGATGCCGATTGACCTTGTAACCCTCGCAAACGCATGAGATGCGACAAGGAGCATGTTCCATTGCCGCTTCCCTTACCCCGTTCTCGCCTCTGGGCCTCCTGGGAGGCCCTCGGCGCCACGGCTGGGTCCGCGTCGAAATTCTGGTCAGAGAGGCCCAGGGAGTAGAGCTACCAAGGATTCTCCCTGTAAGCGCTGTCACGGCATAAGTACAAGGCGGCAGGGGCAGGTAGTATCGTCAGGGGCGGCCAAGAGGGGGGGGATGACTATGGGGGGGTGGATATCATGGCGGTGGCCATGATATCGCGCGCGATTGCATGGCGCCCAAAACATGCCTGGCCCTTCCTGGGCCGCGTACATGCCGCAGCCATGATTTGCGCCCCCCCCCCCCCCCCCCCTCTTGGACGCCCCCCTCTTGGCCGCCCCCGATATCCATGAAGCGCCGAAATCCGAAGCCCGTCACCGCGTGGCTCCTTCGCTTCTGCTTGAAGACTTGGTGCTGCTTCAACCGCACCAGCGCGCGGGTGGATTCCCCGCGGCAGTGCGCCGTTGATCTTTTTTCCTTTCCCGAGGAGGAGGAGGAGGAGGAGGAGGAGGAGGAGGGAGGAGGAGGAGGAGAAGGAGGAGGAGGAGGAGGAGGAGGAGTAGGAGGAGGAGGAGAGGCCGTCATCGCTTGGGAGTCCGCGCGATGGTCGCGGAGTTCACCCCTGGCGGCGCCCCTCGGCGTTCCGCCCCCCTGGCGCGCTCCGCGTGCCGGTGGGGCGAACCCCGCGCCGATCCGAGAGATCCGCGTGGACCTCTGGACGGCAAGGCTCTCCTCCTCCTCCTCCTCCTTCACCTCCTCCTCCTCCTCCTCCTCCTCCTCCTCCTCTTCCTCCTCCTCCTCAATCCGCATCACAAGGATGGGCCAACTTCCCAAGGGTACCCTGACATCCTTGCCCCTTCGGCCCATCCTTGGCCGCTTTTGCTGTTCAACCTCGCTCGAAGAACGTTCACATGGGCCTCCAAGGCCCCTGCATCCTTGCCGCACATCCTTATTATACGGGTTGACTGTAATTATTGTTCTTCTCAGGATGCCACCGTCTGCCGTGCCGAGCTGGAGCGGACCCTGGTCGAGGCTCGAGGGATTATCATACATACTCGGAGCTTCGAGCGGTCAGGTCATGCTCGGAGCCCCGAGTGGTCTACATACTCGGGACCCGCAGCGGGAAGGGATAGCTACGTGTACTGCTTCGCGGCTTCCATTTGCGAGCCAGGCTTTTCCCGGATGGCACCTCCCCCCGTTTCGCGCACTCAGTGTTTGCCGAATGCGCATCTTGTCCACCGCTCTCTTGGCACATGAGCTATGTTCCAGATGGTCGTTCACAGGCCCCCCGCACCGCACCGCAGGGCACGAGCTATGTTCCACATGGTCGTTCACAGGATCCCCGGACCGCACAACGGGGCCCCCAAACCAGGGCGCAGCCCAGACCAGAGCAGAACCAGGGCCCGCACCCAGGGCCCCCAAGCCAGGCCGCACCTGGGCGCCAACAGCCCGACCCAGACCGTTGGCCCCTCCCAGGTCCTGCGATGATGGCCCCCTGCTGTGCACAGACTTTTTTGAAGGTCTGTGCGGGCTCCCGTCACCGTCGAGGCCGGGGCTTCCTCCCCGTCACCCTTGGCGGCGCCCCCGGCGCCGCCACGGGCGCGATCCTCGCAGCGTGGACCCCACGAGGTCTCGTCCTCCTCCTCCTCCTCCTCCTCCTCCTCCTCCTCCTCCTGCTCCTCCTCCTCCTGCTCCTCGCGCCAGGGGACCTCGGACATCGTGCATTTTTTTCGGGGGGGGGGTCCGCAACGTGGACCCCACGAGGTCTCCATCCCTTCCCTGGGACTGGCGTCTCGGCCCCAGCCGTTGAGGGCCCCGAGGCTCAGTACTCGATGGTCCCCGTCCCCCCCCGTCGTTTTTCTCTGTTGGGGGAGCACGACGCGAGGAGGTCTGGGGAGGTCAGCGCCGATGCAGGTATGATGCAGTGGAGACCCATGCTAAGAAACACCCTGCTTGCCTCCAGGGTACCCTGAGTTTCTTGGGCTTCGATGGCTTTGCTGTGGTGAGCGTGACGTTCCCACACCAAAAAACAATGGACGTCCTGGGGTCTCAGGGTTGGGTTTCTTGTGGAAGGTCTTGTGGTCGGTCCTCCACTGTATGTTATGCTTGCGGACCTTCCACAGTTCCAACTGTTGTGCAGGGCTTCTCTCGGCGGCGCGCCGAGGAGGGAAGGGCGAGGGGGCAGGCATTCTCGGAAGGCGACTCCTCCTCCTCCTCCTCCTCCTCCTCCTCCTCGCCTCCTGAGAAGCCCGCTGTAACTTCGAAGGAAGCTCAGAGACCCTCCCAGACGGCCAGGGTCCGTCCGAGAAGGCCCGACTCTGACCACAGCACAACCCATCCCCATCCCCACCCCCAGCCAGGACCCCCACCCCCGACCTGGTGATCCGAGAACCCTAAAAAAACAAAACAACCCCAACCCCCAGCCATGGCTCCCTGGATCACCACCTCGGGAGTAGAAGTCTTGGCTCGGGGTCGGGTTGGGGATGTGCTGTCCTGAGCCTCTGCCGTTCCCCCTGGGCGCGCCGCCGCCGCCGACGACGACGACGCTCGGCGACGCCGCCGATGTTCTTCTCCTGGAGGTGGTCGGCCTCCAGGGCCAGGCCCGGGTGATGGCCCAGCTCTGCCCGGGGAGTGCCGGCCAGAGCGAGCCGCCTGGCAGTTTGGACTTCCTGAGCTACTGGCAGGGCATGGACCTCGGTGGAGGAAAAGGTGTGTCGCCCTGGGGGGGGAGTGAGGGGGAGCAGGCCTTCTCAGAATGCGGCGGGGCTTCTCGGCAGCCTTGTGACCTTCTGGGGATGTTTTCTTCGTCGTCAGAGAAGGTTCAGACAACTTATGAAAAGGCCCGAGGCCTTCCGATCCGTCCGAGAAGGCCCGTCCCTTCTCACTTCCCCCGGGGGTGCACTTAGCACCCCGCAGCTGCGGATAAAAGTGAGGGGGTGAGCGCGGGGTGGGTCGCGGGTGGGTCGTGGGGGCCGCGGGCGAGGACGATGAAAACAACCACGACGCAGCAGCAACAACAACAACCATCATGTTAAGACTGTTCGCTCCTATCTGCCCGCGTGCCACTCAACACGCATATCCAACACCCCTGGGGTATATGTGGGGTAAATGGAGCAGCCCCTAAAACGGGGGAGTAGAGGACGGATGGAAGGTGAAGGATGAAGGATGGAGCACGGGATGAGCAGGAGAGGGACCAGGAGCAGAACGCACGTGGCAGAACCAGACGGGCTGATCGGGCGGGCAGACCCCAGCGGGTGTGTCAAGAATGGCGGGCCCAGGCGGCCAAGTCGAGCAGGAGGGTTGCTGAAGCGTGAGTCCAGCATGGATCGCAATGAAGTCTCTAGCGATAGTGCGCTTCCCAAGTAAATCGTGAAAAAGGCTAAGTCGAAAGCGCGATTCCTGAGAGTGGAGGGCGCGGCGTTTGAATAGATTGCGGGGAAGTCCCACGCGAGAGCGCGAGTCCTGCATACACTGTGAGGAAGTCTCGCGCGAGAGCGCGATCTGGGAATAAGTTGTGAGGAAATATCAGGCGGGCGCCGTTGTTGCTGCAGGCGGAGCGGCAGGGGCGTACTTTGAGCATGAAAACCGCCTTCGATAAAAACACAGGGTGCGAGCCCCGAAGGGGGGAATGCAATTGAAAAACAAGATGTACACTGGTCGGCGGGGACCAACAATAAGTATTATTAAAGAGTGCGATTTGAACGGCAATAGCAACTACAACCCAACACCAACAGCATCAACAACATCTACATCAACATCCCATACACCAGCATCATCAGCAACATCAGCAATAACTTTATGATTGTTCGCTCTTGCCTGCTCGCGGGCCATTCAAAACGTACATCCCCAAACCCTCGGTACACGCCCTCCTCGTCTTCTATCGTACACCCGTGGGTGCATATTTTCCTTACTGGCCGCGCGCAATTGGTGCGGCCCCTGAAACAGGGGAATCGATGACGAATGGAAGGTGGAGGATGAAGGATGGGATACGGGATTAGCAGAGGGGCTTGGAGCAGAAAGCACGTGGAGAAACCAGACGGGTTGATCGGGCGGGTAGACCCTAACGGCCAGGTCGGGAAGGCGGGCCGAAGCGGCCAGGTCGAGCAGGCAGGTTGCTGAAGCTTGAATACAGATGAATCGCGACGCTCCCGAGGGGATCTTGAGCGGCAGTGCGATTCCCAATTGACTCGCGCGGAAAACAAAAGCGAGAGCGCGGTTCCTGAGTGTCGAGGGCGCGGCGTCTGAATAAGATAAGAAGTCCCACGCGAGAGCGCGATTCCTGCACCAATTGCCAGGAATCCCGCGCGAGAGCGCGATGTTGGACACTAACTGAGAGGAAGTACCAGGCAGGAGCCGTTGTTGTTGCTGTTGTTGTTGCTGTTGTTGTTTTTGTTGTTATTGTAAGCGGGGGGACAGGGGCGCAGTTTGGTGACCGCATTTTCCGTCGTAAACAATGTGGGGGCCCGGGAGGAGCCCTTTACTTGAAAGACACTATGGTCACCGGGCCGGGAAGATCAACCATCATTGCTGTTTCGAGCTGAGAATCCAACAGTACCCATAACAACAATTCACATGTTGTTCGCTCTAACCTGCTCGCGTGACATTCAAGACGTGCATCCCTCTTTTTCGTCTTCGATTGTGCCCCCTTGCGGGTATATCTTCCTTACCTGCCGCGTGTAATTGGTGCAGCCCCATGACAAGGAAAAAAAGAGGACGGATGGAAGGTGGAGGGAGAATGATGGAACACGGGATTGGCAGGAGGGGGGGCTATGAACAGAACGCACGTGGTAGAACTGGACGGGCTGATCGGATCGGGCGGGTCGGGAAGGCGGGCCCAAGCGGCCAAGTCGAGCGGGCGGGTTGCTGAAGCGTGAGTATTGCATGAACCGCGAGGAAGTTTGAAACGATAGCGCGGTTCCCAAGTGAACCCAGCGAGTAACCAGAACGAGAGCGCGAATACCCGAGTGTCGAGGGCGCGGCGCTAGAATACCTTAGGAGGATGTCCCACGCGAGGGTGCGGTTCCTGCAATTGTCAGGGGGAAGTCCCGCGCAAGAGTGCGATGTTTCGATACATTGTGAGGAAGTATCAGGCGGGAACGGTTGTTGTTGTTGGTGGTGGTGTTGGTGGTGGTAGTGTTGTTGGTGTTGCTGTTGTTGTTGAGCTGTCATTTCTAATGCTTAACTGCTGTTGATCCCCCCCTCTGGGGCACATGGTGGTTTTGAAATTGACGTGCTGGTTCATAACGCCAGCGGCTCCCGTCTGATATTTCCTCACAAGTTATTCCCAAGTCGTATTCTCACGCGGGACCTCTTTACAATTTGTGCAGGGATCGCCGTTTCGCGTGGGACCTCCTCGTAATTATTCAGACGCCGCGACCTCGACAGTCAGGAATCACGCTCTCGCTGTGGATTTATCACGATTCATTTGGGAATCTAGCCATCGCTCGAGATTTCCTTGCGATTCATGCAGGACGCACGCTTCAGCAACCCGCCTGCTCGACCTGGCCGCCGTGGCCCGCCTTCCTGACCCACCCGTTGGGCTCTATCCGCCCGATCTGCCCGTCTGGTGCTGCCACGTGCGTTCTGCTTTTAACCCCTTTCCTGCTACCTTCTCTCATGTTTCATTCCCCTCCTTCCCACTTGTCCTTTCCTTCCATCCGTCCTTTCTTCCCCTGCCCAGGGCTGCACGAAATACACTTTGCGGGCAAGACAGATACATACCCCAAGGGGTACGGTCGAAGACGAAGAGGGCGGGTATGGAGGGTTTGGGAGATACGTGTCGAATGGCACGCGGGCAGATAAGGGTGGACCGTCGTAAAATGAGTGTTGCTGTTGTAGTTTGTGTACTTGTCATTGTTGTTGGTGTACGTGTACGTGTACGTGCTGTTGCTGCTGTTGTTGATGTTGTTGGTGGTGGTGGTGGTGGTGGACTGATGGTGGACTGATGGTTGTTGTTGTTGGGGTGTTTGGTCTTTGTGTTGTTGCCGTTGTTATGGTGTTGTTGGTGTTGCTGTTGGTGTTGTTGGTGGTGTTGTCAATCGGGGGCCATGTGCGCAGTTTGGTGACCCCATCTTATCCGTTATAAATGCCAGGTGCGAGACCGGGAGGGCACACTGCTAATTCCAAAACCAAATGTGCACCTGTCAAAGGGCATCAGCAACAATATTTTGAGATTGTTCGATCTCTCTTGGCCTGGTGCCATTCAACATGTATATCCCCCACTCCTTGCCGTGTCCAGTCGGTGCAGCCCCTAAAAAGCAGGTTCAGGAGGGGAGGAGTCGAGAGACAAGGGGGAGGGAGAAGGATGGAGCACGATAGGGATGTGCAGGAGGAGGGTTAGGAGCAGGAGCACACGCGCAGAACCAGAAGGGCGTGTCGGGCGGGCGTGCCCAAAGGAGCAGGTCGGGCGGGCGGGTCCACACGGCCAGGCCCTCCTCCCTCCTCCTCCTCCTCTTCCTCCTCCTCCTCCTCCTCCTCCTCCTCCTCCTCCTCGAGCGATAGCGCGATTCCCAAGTATTTCGTTCGACAATTCAGAAAGCGAGAGCGTGATTCGTGAGTCTTGTGGGCATGTCGCCGAAATCAGTTGTGAGGATGTACCACGCGAAAGCGCGAATCCTGCATATCTTCCGAGGAAGTGGCGCGAATTGGACACAAGCTGTGAGGAAATATCAGGCGGGCGCCGCTATTGTTGTAAACCGGGGGCTCAGGGGCCAGTTTAGTGACCCCAGACTTCCCCTTGTAAAGAACAGGGTGTGAGCCCCATGAGGAGCGTTTGAATTGAAACATGCGATGGCCACCGAAGGGGGGAATTAACAGTAACGATTTCTGAAAAGTGAGAATTCAACCTGGTCGCGGAGCCCCACTGCAGCCACGCAGCCAGGGTCAATGATCGTTCGGCCCCCTCCGTCCGATGTGCCGATGCCGCTACCCTGGGAGCTGGATGGGGTGCGGAGGTGGCCCAGCACCAGGCCCCGCCAGCAGAGAGGGGGGTGAAAGGGGACCCCTCGTTGCCACGGCTGGACGCGGCTCGAACAATTGGTCAAGTTGGACAGATGTTGAGAGGATCGGCCCTCCTCGCCCCCTTTCGACAGATTTCTGCGCAGAATCCCCCGGCCGCTTCTGATCATTACCCTCGCAAGGCCCAGATCTTTCCGATCGAAAGGGTTCGAAATCGATGCTGGCCAGCTCGACCCGATCCGAAGCCGACGATATGTTACGCTGTTTTGGGCCTTCTGTGGGGGCCTCCTCGCCCCCGTTTGATTCGCCTCGGAAGTCCTGGCCTCGCACCCCAGGAGTGGTATGGGGAGCAGCGGCATCGGTATAGGGAAGCTGGAAAAGTGGCTTAGGCCTGCCATGTCACTCTTACAAGCCCTGTCAGGTTTTCCCTCCGGTTGTTCAAGCCCTGTTTCGGGCTCGTTTCATCCGTCGCCAGTTTTTCCAGCCTTGGCCACTTCATCTTTCATGGACGTGCCGACTTCCGCTTTAGCCAGCTCCTCGGTATTTTTTTGCTTGTTCCCCCACACACACCCTTGAAAAAGTGATGCACCTTTTGCAGGTGTTGTCGAAGAATCTTCCAGGGGACTTCCCTGGGGGCAGTTTTTCATTCAGGGTCCGTTTCTGACGGTCCTGGGGCCCGAAGACGGCGCCCGCAGGCCAAAGATTTGGAGAAACCGAAGGCGACGAAAACCAACTTATCGACGTTTAATGGTGCATTCTTTCTCCAGAGCAGTGCAGGACCGCTTCTTCGCCACGATGCAGCAGCGGTGGCCCGACGAGGTCAGAGGCAACGTTCTGGGGGGTAGGCTCAGGGGAGCGTATCAACCCCCAATCACCCATCGATCGCCGATAGGGGCCTGATGGGCCCACGCCTTCCAGGCCCGCGCGGATTCGCCATCGGAGGCCTATCGCCGATTCATTGGCGATGCATCGCTGATTCCAGGACGATGCTTCCCCCCCCCCTGAGCTGGACCCCCCTATCGTTGCCCCTCACGAGGGCGACCATAGCGTCAGCGCCGACACGGTCCGTGGCCTGAAGCGCTTCCGCGACGGCCTCCTGGACCACTGGCGCGGGCAGGGCGCCACCGGCCTCGGCGGCAGCATCGCCCCGGCGCAGCTGCTCGCCATGCTAGGGGCCATCCAGGCTCGGCATCGGTTATGCGATCTTTCGTGGGAGCTTCTCGGGGGCGTCTCGGGCTCCTCCATTGAGATCCTGGCGCTGCATTTTCTTTCACAACGGGCGTTTTCGCCGACCTTTGGGCCCCGGGAACCTCACCGATCGATCCTGCTCGGAAAATGATGCAGAATGGAAAATGACGCAGAAAGATGGGGTCCGGGGCCCCGGTGATGTTTTCTGCGACGTTGCCATTTTGGCAATGTCATATCTGAGGGTCCACCTCCCCCCTCAATTGTGGGAGCCTCAGAGGGTCCAAGTTCTCTTGCGGGTCTGGGGACTTCATTACTTCGTCCAGATTTCGTCGGAGGTGTTCGACGTCCTGACGAAATCTGGACAGATGGGTGAAGTGGGTCGACATCACGTTTATGATAGGGCCGCTGAGGTCCACAGAGGCTCCCATGAAGGCTCACCCAACATCGTTCAAGCGATTCCCACTGGCACGCGGGCATGGCATCTCAGCCCCACCCGCCCACCTCCCTAGATTGGGCAAGGCCCCGCGAAGCCGGAAGGACCAGTCATACAGTCGGGGCGCTGAAGAAGGAACCCTTTTCATTGGGGAGGGGCTCCGTGTTCCTTGATTGTTTCGCAGCTTGCCTTAGGCTTTCTTTAGGTTTTCGATATGAAGTCGTAGTTTACTTATGGAAAATAGGGACCTCGTTCCTTGTTCAGGGTTCCTTCGACTGTACACCCCGACTGTACACCTTCGGCTGACGTTGTCAAGATGGCGTGCGATGTGGCGCCGCTGGCCCGCGTATGGCACGCTGTCCCCCACGCTGGGGACAGCGGATAGCGTGCACCGGAGAAGCCCCGGCAGGGGTCCGTTGGGCGTTGCGTAATGGAGGGGTCATAAATGGGGGGGTGTCGCGGGTGGTCCGAAAAGGTACCCAAACGGTACCTAAACGAGCCCCCTGGGGCTCCAGAGGGGCCCGAAAGGGGCACGAAAGGGGTCCGTTGGGCCCATAAATCCCCCCGGTACCTTTACCGTTTCTGACCCCCCCATTTATGACCCCCCCACTAAGCCACGCCCAAGTCCGGTATATGCACAGAAGTCGGGGGCGGCAAAGAGGGGGGTGATGACTAGGGGGGGGAATATCATGGCGGGGGGCATGATATTTCCCCAGATTTCATGGCGCCTCTGCTTATTTCGTTACGTCCCTGGCCCCCCCGCTGGGCCGCGCACATGCCGCCGGTCATGATTTGCACCCCCCCCCCCTCTTGGACACCCCCCTACTTGGCCGCTCCCGAAGAAGGGCTCCTCGTTGGGCGATCGCCTCACAGGGATAGCGTGCTTCTCGGAGATCGACGTTGCACGCTATCTTTCCCAACGCCAGCCGAAGGTGGGTAAGCCGGCTACGCCTATGGGGACAAAGGACCAGTCAAAGCGATGTTGAGCGGCGGGAGTCCACAATGGGCAGGGACAGAGGCGGGTACTATGTCCAAAAACAAGTGCTGTCCCAAACCGTGGTCAGGCGGCCTTCTGTCTCAAACGGCCCGCGTCCGCGGTGACACCGACAGCGAGTCATGCGCAAGATGAGCCTGACATTATGTCGGTCTGTGTACCCATCCTTTCCGTACGGTCGGGGCGAGGTGTAAGATCGAGGTCGGTTCGCGGAGGTACCTTGATGTTCTTAGTGTTTTGGGGATGGTATTGGGCATCTTGGGGAAGGGTATTTTCGAGTGATCTTATGGTTTGTGGTGCTTTGGCCGGCTGAGGGTCTCATGGTCTTGGAGGATGCTCTTCTTTCCTAGGCTTGGCCGTACACGCCAGTCGTTGGAAGTAGGTATTTCTGGACTCCCAGATGCCAATCAGTTTTAGCCTCCCGACTTCAAGAGTCGAGCGGTTGTCCATCTTCCCTCCTTTTCGGGGGTCGGGCTGAAGCCCAGTCCGTTTCCAACGCATTCCTACTCCATGTTTCTGCCCACTTCTTCCGACCGACGGGTACCCAGTTCGACCGTCCCGGTTGGATCGGGCGGGTGCTAGCGGGCGGTGACCTGAATAGGGGGTGAAAAATGGGGCCCCTAGCGGGACTTTCTAGGGCCCCTGTTGGAGTCAGCAGGGGCTCAAAGGGGGCATGAAAGTGCCCCGTTAGGGCCCTTCTCTTCACCCGCGATCCGGGTCACCGCCCGTCACCACCCGCCCGATTGGAGGCGGGAGCCCGAGACCAGCAGTACTGGCGGGTCAACATGGCGGCCATCGCCGACCTCGAGGGCGACGCGCGGGGCGTGCAGCCTTGCGACCTCGCGGACGCCATTCACTGCTGGCTGGGCGAGATCGTCGAGGGCGCTTCCTGCGGCCAGGAGCCGTGCGCTCGACCCCCAAGCAGTGGAGCTCTTCGCAGCCAGAGATCAGACGACGCCAGATGCATATGTTTTCATCGCCCACCAAACCACCCCAACCCAGCCCGACGGCCCCAATTGGCCCTCCATTTCAAGTGGGGGGGTCTTCGGGTCTTCGGGTTGGGCTGGGGTGGTCTGGTAGGTAACTAGTCCTGTTTTGTAAGTTGTTGAGACGTGATTCAGCTTGCTAGACATCATGTGAAACATCTCGTCGAACTAACCAAACTAGGAGGACGTCGCCGATCCTCGGCCCAGGGATGGCAATTACACGGTGCACGTTTTCATGTTCGTCCCTGGGAGCCGAAGAGGTGTGTGCTTTGCCTGTCGCTCGTCGAAGGTGGGTGTATTTTGGACTCCCGGGTTCCAGGAGACCTTTCTTGTATCTCCTGGCGATGACGGGCGTGACCGGGCTCGGGATTTCGGGGAGGGGACCGGTCGGGTCACGATTGGGGCTGATTCCAACGCGGCGCCGGCGCGAATCGTGACGTAACCAGGGGGGCTGGAGGGAGGGAGGTCGGCGTGGCCGGTCGCCAACGTTGTCGCGAAGATGCGGGGATCCTTTTTGGTCAGCAGGCTCGCGAGGCGGGTCGCAAGCCGTCCAAGCACTAGACGGGCCGCGACTAGGCAGCGGGAAAAGAAAGGCAAGCGAAGTGAGCGAGCGGGCAGCCACTCAGAAGGATAACCATAACCGATACTCCCAAACCCGGATGCGGGGCTGCGCAGGGTGGGGGTTTCTCCCAATGTGGGTTTAGCGAGCGAGCCCCGCTTGAGGCTGACATTTCCCTTCCTCGAACCCCACCTCTGAGCCCACCCCACCTTTACGCCCCCTCTCGAGCGATGCCTCCCCCGGCAGGGGATGGGGGATGCCTCAAGCGAGAGGGGGGACGACACCACCATGGTTGCCCCCCCTGTCTCATCCCGCTGGTGGTCCCTGGTGGTGGCGGCGTCGCGTTTCCTTGCTCCTGCCTTGGCAGCGCTCGGACGTGTGGATTTTCCTCGGCAGTGACCATCGAGGAGCATCTTGGATGAGGTTGCGAACGACAAAAGAACACGCACGAAGCCGCGACGTGCTCTGGGAGTGGACGTCCGAGCGGTGGCGAGCTGCACGGGCGCCGCTCTCGTGCACGCAGCCGCCCCTTGCCGCCGAGGAGCACGGCCGTGCTCCGCTCGACGCCCCGACGCCGTCGGCGGCCACGCCGCTGGCGACGCCGCTGGCGACGCCCGCGCCAGCGTCGGAGGCGGGCAGCTCCCACCCGAGGCGCTTCAGCGCCTCGTCGGACCGCGCCGAGGGGATGGCGCCGAAGGATCGGGGCGGGCGAGGCCCCGGCAGGCAGCGTCTCGGAGAAGTCGGGGCGAGGGTGTTTTGTCGTTTTCGGCCTCTCGGGGCCCTTACGGTAGGTTTGCGTCGTGTCGACCAGCGGCGACCCCAGCGCGGGCGTTTAAGGTTGAACGCCGCCGGCGACCCAGAATCGATCGATGTTGAACGATCGGACGTTGCAGCAGCGGCCAATCGTTCAAGGTTGAATGATCCCTGCGGTGTCAAAAACCAACGCTGGGGTCGGCACGACACGAACCTGCCGTACCGGGCGTCGTGGCCGTCAGAAGATGGCTCGGGCTGAGAAGTTGGTCCGAGTGAAGTGGTCGAGCGGTCGGGGGACAGAGTCTCGAGAAAATCGAGATTCCCGGTGTCTGGGGAGGGGGGTACAGTCAACCCGCTTGGTAGTGATGAGCGGCTTTACGAGGTTACCCTTGCATCTTCTCTCTGCGGCCCGTCCCTGGCCGCTTTCGCCGTCCGCGCCCCGCCCGCAAAGTGTTTGCACGGTCTTCCAGGGCCCTTGCATCCTTATCGTGCGCGTTTATTGCAACAGGCTCATGCGGCGTTGGCGCGCCGGCGTCGCCGAATATGGAATTCTTCGACGCGAAAGCACCGATGGACACGGCAACGACACCGGGCCCGACTGAATCTCACCTTGCACGATCGGGGCCGCGATCGATTCAAGATTGAACAATCGACGCGGTGTCAGAAACCTCTGCGCACGCCGACGCCGCACGAACCTACCGCGTACGGGTTGATTGGAGGGTTAAGTCGGGCATGTCCCTCTCCAGGAGGGACATCCAATAATTTAGAAAATAGTATAGTGGCGATGTTTCGTGCTCTCTTGACTATGTTTGATAACTCTTTTATTATGTTTAATGTTTCTTCCAAAACGCCGCCTGTAGGAGGACATGCCCGACCTAAGGCTTGGCGGGGGCTGTATCGGCGCTGCGCCCGGGGGGGGGGGAAGTGATAATGGGCGGGCCTTCTCAGAAGTTTTGTAATCCTTTCCCGAAGGTGCAGAAGTCTTCTCAGAAGGCGCGAGGGCTTCTGAGCAGCCCCGCCGCCTTCTGAGAAGGCCTTCTCCTTCTCACTTCCCCCCCTCGCTCGCCGGCGAATTTGGGCTGGGGGACTATGTTCGAGGATTTGTGGCGTTGTCGTTGGCTCGCGGCGATTTTCCAGCCTCGGCATGCTCTCCAGCAGCTGCGCCCCGCTGAGGGTGCTCTGGGGGTTCCCGAGTCGTCCCGCACGGCCGCCGTGGGCCCGAGTCACGACCCGAAGAATCTGACGACGAGGGTCAGTCGGGTCGCCCTCGGACGAAAAGGGAGGATCGGTGGCAGTGGGGCGGGGGGCGACATCTGCTGCGTGCGGTCGGTTCCAGCCCCGCCGCTGTGCGTCTTCCTCGATACATTGGCGCCGCCAGCGCTGGGAGAAGGGATAAGCAGCTGCATGAGCTGGTTCGGAAACCCCCGCGTTTGCTTCTGTAAGGGTTTGACAACTTGTCTCCGGGTCATGCCTGATACATCGAGATGAACCCATAGCTATCCGTACTACTTTGCAGAATTCGTGGAAGTTCCAGCGCGAGTCGAGGGACAGCATACGTCGTCAAGCCCTTAACGACTTGCTATCCCCCCGCTTCGTCTGGCCCGAAAGGAGCTGCAACGCGCGTACGAGGTCATCGAGAGCCTGCGGGACCTCACGGACACGCGGAACTCCAGGGCACACAGGCAGGGCCCATTTCCATCCAATTATCTTTAGATTCTGGCCAGCCCAGTCCGATTCGATTCCCATGTTCTGACGATCTGACGCGGCCCGATGTCTGCATGGTGTTGATGTGCACCCTTGCGAGCGGCCGATGCTGTTCGATTCCGACTCCATGCTCTGGCGCACTTTCCCCCATCACAGACGAAGGATGTGTCCCCTGCCTGTCCACCACGACCTTACTGTAATATGCTCTGATGCGCTTCATGAGCATTCTTGACGCCTCACCCGCGCGCAAAAATCCGCTGGAGCACATCTGCAAGGTCGGTGCAGTTACATTTGCCTCACCCAACTCACTTGCCCATCCGGCCTTGCCAAGCGTGCTCGGTTGATTCACAGCTGTACGTCGTGCTTTACCCGTGTTTCGTGGTTGTTGGCCTGTCGTGGTGCAAGGCATGAGGCGTCCGAAAAACAAAAACATGACGCCTCACCCGCGCTCCATGGGTGACGTGGCCACTCACGGCTCTGACCCGGGGGTCTAGACCCGTTCCCCGGGACAGGCTTTTCATCCTTAGCAGTTTCTCTACGGCCCTGGGGCCCAGCGAGGGCCCATGCAGAGGCCGAAAATACAGCAGGGGCCCGACCACAAGCAATCTTCCACAAGAAACCCAACCTTGAGACCCAAGGACGTCCACAGATTTTTGGTGTGGGAACGTTACGCTTTCCATCGCAAAACCATCGAAACCAGGCTGGCATTGGACGTCGAGTTTCGGTCCAGTCTCTGCCACACCGCCGCGCGAGCACGCGCGCGGCGTGCGGCGCGCGGGCAGCGGCGGAGCGCACGCGGGAACGGCAGACGAAGGACGTGCCCCTGAGGCTCGCTGGAGGAGGAGGAGGAGGAGGAGGAGGAGGAGGGGAGGAGGAGGGGGGGGGGAGGGGGAGGAGGGGGAGGGGGAGGGGAGGAGGGGGGGGGGAGAGGGAGGAGGGAGGAGGAGGAGGAGGAGGAGGAGGAGGAGGAGGAGGAGGAGGAGGAGGTGGAGGTCTCATCGAGCGTGTCTGCCGCACCCATCGGCCAGATGAGGTCGGAAGGCGTTGCACGTGGATTGGGTTCCGTCCGCCCCCCTGTGGGAGGACGGAAACGGTGAAGCCACTCGATCATTGAAGTGGGAAGACGCTTAGAGTAGATTGCAATTTGGGAATCCCGGAAATACCTACTTTCAACGACCGATGGGTAGCGAGCCTCATGTCGACCGGTCCTGCGCACCAGGGCCCTGGAGGAGCTGGCGAGGCTGCAGGGCTCGCTGGGCCGGCAGCTGCACGCCCAGGACCTGCAGAGGGGCACTCGGCATAGGTCGGGCCTGTCCATCGACAGGAGGAATGCTCAAAAATAGTTTTGAAAGATAGTATGGTGAGGTTTTTTATTTGTTTCGAGTATCGTCGAGCATTTGTGTTGATTTTTGTTGGGGGGAGGGGGCGAGGGGGGGGGGGGATCTCCCCTTGTAGGAAGACACGCCCGACCCAGCGCTCGGGCGGGGCTGCGGCAGGTTCGCGCTGCGCTGCCGCGGCGTGGTCCAAGGTGCGGGCGCCCTCTGGACGCCTCGAACAGAAACAACGCCACAGTCAAATGCTTTTGGCGCTCCGCGCGGATCTCCTGGATCTGCGCTGGGCCCCCCCTGGCGGCGCCCCTGGCACCGCCCCTGGCGCGCTCCGCGCGCCGGGGAGGGGGGTCAGCGCAGATCCAAGAAATCCGCGCAGAGCGCCAAGTGTTTATGTTTATGGCGTTCTTTCTTCTTCTATGAACGTCGCCAGTGGCCCAGAATCGGCCGATAGCAAACGATCTGCTCTATGGGAGGATCGTGCTTTTTCAAATGTTGAACGATCCACGGGGTGTTAGGGACCATCGCCGACGTCGTCGCGACGCGAACCTGTCGCAGAGCAGGGCATTCGGGCGGGACGAGGACAGGGATCTATCTTTTCTGAGCTCGAAGATCACCAGCCTCGAACTTATCCCTATCCCTAAAGATGACGCGCCAAACGGCGATGACAATCTTAGGGACGCGTCCTCAAAAACTGAGGGAATCCCTAAGACTGACATCGTGATGCGGCGATGCCCAGCATGGGGGTAGGGATCTGTTCCAGTCTGGCAGGAAGAGAAGGAAACCAACTCGTGAGCAGACCTGTCGGCGCTCTGCACGAATTGCTTGGACCGGCGCTGGGCCCGCCCACCAGCGCCTCTGGCGCCGGGTTTAGGGTTTAGGGTTTAGGGTTTAGGGTTTAGGGTTTAGGGTTTAGGGAGGGGGGGCCCAGCACCGATCGAACAAAAGCTGCACAGATCGCCAGAAAATTATGCTCACGCAGATTTCTCTTTCCGCAGGACGCGCCCAGGGAGCCCAGAGATGTTGTGCTCACGTGTTTGCTTGTGTTTGTGTGTATGCGCTCTCGGTAAGATTTGTTTGTGTCAATCGTCTCCCAGAGCGCTCTCTTTGCGTTTCAGAGCCCTCAGGAGCGGTCGCGGGGCCCCGGCAGATCCTACGGAGCCGCCGGATCTCCGAGGTCCCCGAGGTATCCCGGTCCGAGCTTGTCCCCGTCCTGGCCTCGGCTTAGTCGGGGGCCTTCAAGCGGTGTGGTGACCACAGCGTGTAGTGTGGTGAGACCGTGGGGATGCAGGGTCACCGAAGCGGTTTTGGGACTCGGGCTGTTCTCCGAAGACGACTCGGGCGACCGGGGCCTCCAGAGTTCCAAAACCTTTGGGGGACGTGCCGTGCGGCGAGGTGGTCTGGGAAATCGAGGTCACCACGCGGTGTGCCACCACCACGGTTTTGGGACCCCCCCAGTTTGGGCATCCTGTGCTGCCGCCTGTGGCTGTGCCTGTCCAAGCCCTCCCGGGCTCCTGGGGGTGGCAGTACGGGCACTCCGTTGGGGATACGGGTGCGGTGAGCAGACTATGTGAGAAGTCGGTGGAGGTTCGGGGTCACCGCACGGTTTTGAGACTCGGGTCGTTCTCCGAGAGTGTCCCGAGCGTCGAAGGGGGAAGAAACGGCATGACTAGAAGCTCCTCGGAGGTCCGCGCAGATGCCGTGGATCGGCGTGGGGTCCCCCTGGCGGCGGGCGCATCTGGCGCCGCCCATGGCACGCTCTGCGCGCCAGAGGGGGGGGAGTCAGCGCCAGTCCGAGGAACTCTGCGCGGACCTCCGAGAAGTAACGTTTATGCTGTTGTTTGCTCGTCTAGGCACTCGCTCGGTCGTTCTCGTTCTCCGAGGGCATCTCGAGCGACTGGTCCTCCGAGGTCCCAAGGCGGTGCGGTGACCCACCGTCAGGTGAGGTCTTGATGGATTTCGAGGTCATCGCACGGTCTGTCACCGCGCCGGCCGTTTTTGGGGGCCCCCAGAGGGGGGGGGATGAGGGAGGGGGCGATACATGGGGCGGATCGAAGGAGCGCCCCCGGGCGCCCGATCGAAGGCACACGAGAAGTGCACTGTTCCTCGCCCCCCCCCCGGGTTATCGCTCCCCGTGACGAGACGCGCCTGTTCGCTGGAAGCTTTCACCACCGAGAGCCAGGGAGGGTACGTGGCTCTTTTTCCGATCGCCACCCCTCCAGCGAGGAGTCAAGCAGTGGCGAAGCGTCCTGGCGTGCCTATAGCCCTACCAAATCATGCTCTAAGAACTTTTTGTGGTTCTCACAAAATGTCCTTAGAACATTTCTGGTTGGGACAATCTTGTTCGAGCACATCGGGTTGATGTTCTGAGAACATTGTTTTTGTTCTTAGAACATTTTTGGGTTCTCAGAACATTTCGCGGTAGGACTATAGGAATGCCGGGACGGTCGGTCCCTGCTCAAAGGAGGAGGCACTCAGCCTTGAGACCCAGGCTTACCACGGGGCGCCAGTGGATCTCAGAAGGAGGACCCATACATCCTCCGAAGTCATGATTTCAGCCCGCAGTCCTACATAGCTCTCGACTCTTCCCTGGGCGCAGCTCCGTATCTCGGGCCTATTTCTGGTAGGCCGGGGCCGACATCGAGGTAACACGCCCGGATTAAAAACAAATCGTTTGAGATTTTTGGATTCCAAGGTCACCGCACGGTCTGTCACCGCGCCGTTGTGGGCCTCCAAAGTGGAGGGAGGGGGGCAAAAGCCGTCCCAGTCCTGCCCCGCCCTATTCAATCCCAGCCAATCCCGCCCAGTCAGGCTTAGCCCTTCGGGCTCAATGGCTCCTCAGTCGGTCTCAATAGCCCTCAGTCGCCCGTCCCCACGAAGACCTGCCGCCGTTGACTCCAAATGAGGTGGAGGGGGAGGAGGAGGAGGAGGAGGAGGAGGAGGAGGAGGAGGAGGAGGAGGAGGAAGAAGAGGAGAAGGAGGCAGGTGGACCGTTCTGTAAAAAAGCAACGTCTCGATCAATCACGACCGGAACCCTAGACCCAGTCGTCCTGCGGCGTTTTTCGAGCCAGATCGACTGGTGATCGGCCCGGGGCCGGCGTGACAGAAGTTGCAACGCCCTGAGTTGGGGTAGGAGGATTGGGGGCGGCCAAGTGGGGGGTTATGACTAGGGGTAGGCTCCGCAGATTTCATGGCGCCGCTTCTTATTTCAGTACGTCTCCTGGCAACCCCCTGGGCCGCGCACATGCTTCGGGTCATGATTCGCGGACCTTCCTCTTGGACGCCCCCCTCTTGGGCGCCTCCCACCTTCAGGGGCAACGCTAGACGGGGATATGCTCACAGGGGGAAGGGAATGCAACGGCCGCCAGTCGCCCATTCATCGCCGACAGGGGCCCGATAGTTCACCCCGCCCGGAAACGTGCGCATTCGCTGTCGGGTGCCTGTCGCCGATCTGTCGGCGATGCATCGCCGAGTCCAGCTCGGTGTTTCCCCCCTGAGCCTCGTCCCCGTCCCTGGAGGCTTGCGGGCCATAACTCGGGCCTCCGGCGGCCGTTCGGGACGATCCAGGCATCCCTGGAACGCTCTCGGCGAGGTGCACCTGTTGGAAGGCATCCCGAGGCTGGAGCGCCGACGAGAATCGACGAAAACGATTGAAAACCTTGAACCTGTCGTCGTCCCCCCTAGCTCAGGAGGGACAGAAGAAACACATAAACAAATCATCGTCAATGCCACGGAACATATATGGAACATGCGGGAAGTGGAGGGGGACGCACATCCAGAGAGTATTCGAGATTTTGGGATTCTTGGGTTCTTGTCTATTTGTTTGTGTGTCCCTGGGCCCCTTTCTCGGGCCGAACGAAAGGGGGGGATAGGAAAGGGGGGGGGGGTAGAAGTCTGCTGCATGCAGCTGGCTGCGGCCCCGCCGCCGGGCCCATTCCTCGATACATCGGCGCCACCCGGCGCCGGGAGGCGCTGGGAGAATCGGCCACGTGAGCCGATGCCCTACCCTGCCCTTTGCTGTCCCCCCTTCGCTCCCCCCGACTTACCTGCTACGGTCGGCCCAGACTAGCAGGTCGGCCCTGCCAAATCAAGGGCACCTTTGTGTCCTGAGCCTCGCGACCGGGCCTCTGCATTCCTATATGGCAGTGTGGTGTGGCCCCCGGAAGGGTCTTCTTTCCCGCGTGCCCTCCGGAAGGGCCTTCAGGATTAATTCGGTGCAGGCAGCCGGGCAGCGAGCCGCGCGCCCGGCCCTTCCTCCCATCCCTCCCTCCCCTCCCCCCCTCATCCTCCCCCTCCTCCTCCTCCCCTCCTCCTTCCTCCTCTCCTCCTCTCCTCCTCTCTCCTCCTCCTCCTCCTCCTCATCCTCCTCCTCCTCCTCCTCCCCCCCCTCCCCCTCCTCCTCCTCCTCCCCTCCTCCCTCCTCCTCCTCCCTCCTCCTCCCCCTCCTCTGCCACAGGGCTTCGCTGGATGGTGAACAGAGTGTCCTCTCGCGTGTCCTGTCCAGTGAGGAGGAGGAGGAGGAGGAGGAGGAGGAGGAGGAGGAGGAGGAGGAGGAGGAGGAGTAGGCGCTGCCCCTCCCGCCCGGCGCAAGGAGGCCGAGATCGGCAGGCTCCGGGAGAGCGGCGAGGCCCTGCGGCGGAAGCGGCAGGACCTCGAGGCCGAGCTGCTGCGGCAGGTGGAGGCCCGCGGGGCCGGCCACGAGCGGCGCGCACGGCCTCGGCATCGCTCGGGACGTGCGCGCTCTTCCTCAAACGACGCGAGGATCGGGGCAAAATCGGATCGGGACAACTCGAAATCTCTGAGGATCGGCGGGTTTGGAGGATGCATTGGGCGCCGCGGCCGCTCCCGAGCGTTCCGGAACGCTCTGAGAGCGCTCCGGAACGCTCTGGAGCGATTTGTCTCGATCCTAGCCCTGTTTTACTTCCTCGGCGGGGATTCGTGAGGAGCGTCCTGGACCACCCTGCGAACAAAAAACCTTGGCATCGCTCGGACGTGTGCATCTGTCCTTCGGCGGGGACCATCGAGGAGCAATCCTGGATCACCTGGCGACAAAGCCACGCACGAAGCCGAAACAAAAAACAGGGAATGGACGTCCGAGCGATGGCCAGAACCACGCACGACACCGAAGAAAGCACAGGGAAGGAACTCTTCGGCGCATCCGCGCGGTCGCTCGCGCGCGCGCGGGCCGTGCGCGCACTCTTATTTTTGGCGGGTCCGCCATTCTTTCTTGGAAAACTGCGATCATCATCATCAACATCATCGTCATCAACATCATCATCATCATCATCATCATCATCATCATCATCATCATCATCATCATCATCATCATCATCATCATCATCATCATCATCATCATCATCATCATCATCATCATGAGTAGCATTGCCATTCTCATCCTGGGACGTCCGAGCGACGGGGAGCGTCCGCCTCCGCGCCCTCGCTCAGAGGGGGAGGCGGTGCCGATGCCGCCAGGGCAGGCTCGCGTCGTGCCGATGGGCGGCGCCCTCCTCGGAGGGCCTCTCGGAGGCCTCCTTGGGCCGCCTCGGAGGCCTCTTGGGGGCCCCGTGGCCGTCTTGCGCCGTCTTGGAGGCTTCTGGGGCGAGCCTGGAGGCATCTTGGACTCTCTGGGGCCGTCTTGGAGGCCATCATCTCCCAGGCGGCCCCGTGGCCGCCTTGCGCCGTCTGGGAGGCTTCTGGGGCGAGCCTGGAGGCATCTTGGACTCTCTGGGGCTGTCTTGGAGGCCATCATCTCCCAGGGGGCCCCGCGGCCGTCTTGCGCCGTCTTGGAGGCTTCTGGGGCGAACCTGGAGGCATCTTTCAGGAGGGAAAGAAACACACAGATACAATTAATCGGCGATCCCTAGAAAATATGGGAAAATATGGGAAGTCGGGGGGAAGACAAAAACCCAGAAAATATGGGAAAATATGGGGGATACTTTTATTTGTGTGTATTTATTTGTGTGTCCCAGTTCCCCTTCAATCTTGGACTCTCTTGGGCCGTCTTGGAGGCCATCATCTCCCAGGCGATCGCAAACATGGATGAAGGGGGGGCGTGGATCAGCGACGAGTCCCGTTCCCATGGGAAATCGCGGGTTCCCGCCGCCGAGCGAGGCGGCACCCGCCGCACTTGTGGGGAGGGCACCTTCCCCGATCCATGGATTTGGCGACCGCGCGCCCAACTCATGGATCGCTGATCCATGCTTGCGCGCCCCCGAGGCCCCAGCGCGTGCGTTTCAGGCTGAACGCCGCTCGTGGCCCCGAGTCGGCCCGTCGTTGGACGATCCGGCGTTCGCAGAAGGGCCGATCGTTCAAGCTTAAACGATCCCCGCGGTGTCGGTCGACACGACGCGAACTTGCCGTACCCTTCTCAAGTGTTTCGCCATGTTCGGCCTCGGGGGGAGGCCCTCGTCGCCACCGCGGGATTCGCCTCGAGGTCTTGGTCAGAGCGCACCGGGGGAGAGGACCTGGGGAGTACGGGTATTGGTACCTTTGGGCTTCGCTCTCGCGGTTTGTATTCTGGGGCGCGATCCCGCGGATACGAGGTCGCGCGGACACGTCCTTCGCGGGGCATTCGCGAGGAAGCGCCCCGTATCCGCGGAGTCGCGGTTCCAGGCCCAGCCCGCGAGGCCGCGGATACGGAGACGTGTTTCGCACACGGGGAGAGGGGCGAAGGGCGAGGGGACATAGTCTCAACGGGTCGGGGCGGGCGAGAGGGGCACGGTGTTAAAGGATCGGGGCGGGCGATACCCTGACATCCGCCGTCTCGAACAAGTCGGGACGAAGGTTTGTCGCCGTTTTCGGCATCTCGGGGCCCTTACCCGGCCTCGGGACCGTCAATCATATAACTGCTCGGGATGAAAGAGCCAGTCCTGGGGAAGTGGTCGAGGGGTCGGGTTGGGCTTCGCGTAATGGGGGGTGCGATACATGGGGGGGGCGGCGAGGGCTGCAGAAGAGGGGTCCTCCAGGGCCCGTAAAGGTGCCACGTCGGGCCGAGAAGGTTGCCTTTGCGGCTCGAAAAGAGCACCTTCCCCCCCCACCCCCTATTGGCCCCCCCCTTTTTTCTCTTGGGCGCAGGACGCTAGCCTTCCGTGTAAGCCCTGGGGGCACCCCTGCGCTGAGTCTCCGATCTTTTCAGGGTTTTCTCCTCCGAGCCTGGCTTCATGCTGGTGGCTGACCAAGACAAGAGGTTCTTTCGGAGCTCTGATCCTGATCCTGATCGCCCTCGCATTGAGAGTTCAGCGACGCCCAACGGGGGACCCGTGTCTAGAAAAAAACAGAGACGCTGGATGTGTCGGGGGGGGAGGGGGAGGGAACAACGACACCGGCCGCCCTCTCTTTTGTTTTGCGTCTATTGTGGGGCCTGGTGGTGAGGCCTCTTGTCCCCGCGGCTGGAGCCGCCTCGGGAAAGGGGTCAGGATGGGCCCTCGGGAAGGGTCCAGGGACAGGTTTCGAGCAGAGTTGGGTCGGGGGGGGCTGGATTGGCGGCGCGCCCGGGGGGGAAGTGAGAAGGGGCGGGCCTTCTCAGAAGGTTTCGAAGCCTCCCGCAAAGACGCAGGACACTTCTCAGAAGGCGCGAGGGGTTTCGAGAAGTCCTTTTCCTTCTCACTTCCCCCCCCTCGCTCGCCGGCGAAGTTGGGCTGGTGGGGGGGGGCGATATTTCAAGGGCAGACGCTGTCGGGCTCAATAGCGGGTGGCCTCCATGGGGGGTGAAGTAAAGGGCCCCTTGAGGGCCTTTGTCTTCACCCGCAATTTTGGCCACCGCCCACTACCACCCGCCCTGTGTGGAGCGGATTTGGGCCAGTGCCAGGGGGCGAAGTCAGTGAGTCAAGTCTGGCGCTCATACGGCGCATTGGCGAATAAAGATATGTTTGCAGTGAATGGCACCATTCTTGCGGAGGGAGGGAAAGAACTGGCAGGAGGAGGAGAAGGAGGAGGAGAGGGAGAGCAGGGGGGGGCAGGGCCAGCGGATCTAGTCTCAAGCTGGCTGCGCTCGCGCCATATCTGGCATCCTATCGTTGGGCCCAGGATGATATTCATGGGAGGATCGCCCCCCCCCCCCCCCACCCACATGGCCCTCTCTCAGCGGGTGGAGTGGAACGGCTCTCCCGCTTGCGAGAGGTTTCTGGTTTGTCCACCCTAGGTAGTCGGCGATTTTCATATTTTGTTTCGCCGACTGGCGCGGCCCCCAGCCCTGCCCCCCTTCATAGATCAGATCTTGGCTGCTTCGGGCGGCTGCTTTGGGCGACTGGTCAGTACCCCCCTCCCAGTCTGCTTGCGCGACTGGAAAAAAACAGATCGACTAAACACAGGCCCTGATCCAGATCCCCCCCCCCTCCCCCAGCCTTCAGCCAAATGTAGAAACCCAGAAAGTAATCCAAAACAAGTGCTTCTTGTGATCCCCAGCCTGTGTTGTTCCAGTTTTAGTTGCCCCTCTTGGGTACCGTCTGGGGGCCGTTTTGGGGCCTCTCATGGGCCCGGAGGGCTCTTAGGGCTTCTCGGTGGTTTCTTTGACGCCTGCTGGCGGTCTCGCCTCTCCTCTTGGGTCGGAGGACTCTGAATTGATTTGATGCGATCTTGGGGGCCTCTTGGGCCATTTTGGACGCGATTGAAATACCAAAAGGCGAACATGCTAAACCTAGCAATTCTCCCATGGGGTTGGAACGAGTTTTGCCTCCTGGGGCCCTCATTGTGGTCCTCTTGGGGCGTCTTGGAGGCTTATTGGGCCGTCGTGAGGCTAGCTTGTGTTTTGACGCCTCCTCGGTTGAAGACCAGCTTGTGCAAGCAGAGATGGAGAATTGGACACCTTGGAGGCCAGGAGCCTGGATACCACTTCCCCCCCACCCGCCCCCCCTAAAATCGGATTTTGGACCCTGGGGGAGGGGGAACGGGGGAGGGGGACACCCAACAGTCTCACAAGCCTTGTCACCCATGGCAAGCGAGGGTCGGCGGATTAATCTAGTCTCCGCTAGTTCTTCCGTGCAAGATACATCTTGGACTCGCATTGCCCCTCCCACCAATCCCTTCCCGCTCAGCTGCTTCGTCTCTATCCGCGGTCCCACGTCATAGCGGACCTGGAACTCCCCAAAAGGCCCTATAATGTTATGCGCAATCGGAAAAGCAGAGCTGCGTACATAGAAGGGGGGGGAGAAGGAGGAGGTGGCGGATGAGCAGAAGGATGATCATGAAGAACAGGACGAGGATGAGAAAGGAGGATGACGAGGACGAACACCAGCAGCGGGAATTGGCGCGGGAGGAGCGGGAGGAGCAAGAGAAGGCGGAGGAGTGGTACGGAGGTGGGTGACGATGATGAGGAAGGCCTCGGATCCACATAATAGTGGCCCGCGTTCTGGCGAGAGCGCCAGTCTTGGCGACGGGAGCAAAGCGCCGACCTTCTGAGACACCGGGAACGGTCCGATGGGAAAACATGCAAGAGGGAATACAAGCATTCAAATTCTTGCGCATGGACAGCAAGCAGTGGGCGGGCGACTCCCCAGCCGGGCGTGTCCCTCTACAGGAGGAATATTCAAAAATAGTTGAAAACACAGTATGGGGAGTTTTTTTAGATAATTTTTCATATTTGTAGGAAGACATGCCCGACTTGAGAGTACAGGGGCTGCACCAGGGGAAAGCTGGGACGACTTGCCAGTGTCGGCGCAATCCCTGGCAGGCGTGCCACCGAGA